TCATGCTTTTTGACTGATAAACAACCCATTTACCTTCATTATCATTGTCGATAGTGATTGGGTTAGCAGATGCCTTCTCTTGAGGAGGGAGCTCGATAATCTTAGAGTCCAAAAGTTCCTGAATTTTATCTTTTAGAACAAAGCACTCTTTTATCGGATGGCTAATCAAACGATGGTAGGCAATACTTTGGATCGTTGGTCTTTCCTACTTTATGTGGTCTTTTCACCTCAGGGAGAGCAATCAACTTTTGCTCCAACAGATCTTCAAATAGGTCTTCGACTAGATCATCCATGAAAGAATATTTCTTCTCCAACCTCTCTTTCATAGTCACCTTTTTAAATTCTTTGGGCTTTTTAGCCCCTACTACAACGGGACCCTTCTTTCTGGTTTCGATTGTAGCTGCAGTCGAGGACTCAACCCTTTCAACGGCCCTAGGCCTCCTTCGTTTAGCTAGATGCAGCTCCATATCATGAGCTTTAGTGCATAGATCATTGAATCCTTCAAAAGTTTGAGCCATAAGAGCCGTAGAGAGCTCGTGTCGAAAGTTGTTAAGGTACATCCAAATTAACTCTAATTGCGTAAACTTTTGAGGACAAGAAAATGTCAAAGCTCGCCATCTTGCAATGAAATCTGTAACAGACTCATTGTCACGTTGCTTGGTCTCAATCAGTTCTGGTACTCCAACTCGCCTTTGTGTGTTGCAGAACTGTTTAAGGAACTCCTTCACCATAGAATCCCAATTTAGGATTGATCCCTCAGGAAGGTTAGCATACCAAGTAAATGCCGAACTTTCAAGTGACTGAACAAATAGCTGCAGACACAGGGCCTCATTATGGGCCATTGGCCCGCACCTTGAAAGAAAATGAGCCACATGTTGTCTTGGATCTCCTGTTCCATCAAACATTTTGAAATCTAGTTGGGAAAAACCAGAAGGGAATGGAACAGCATCTACCCATGCTGGGTAGGGTTTTGTAATTATTCAAAAATTCTCATCATCTTTTTCTTTGACTTTCTTTACTTGTCTCCTCACCATATCATCAATCATGGCCATGAGCATTGGATTCATACCACCACTGGTTAGATCAGAGTAACAAGGACCATTGCCCCCTGGGGCTAGTGTACTTTGTATGCCTACAGATGTCCCCACAACAGGTTATGTCATTTGTTTGGGTGCACTTCCTGGTCCTGTCATTTGGGCCTGCAGCTGTTGCATTTGCTCCAACATAGCAGCCATTCCTCGTACTTTTCTCTCGAGTTGTTCTTGTAGGGCCACCACTTTTTCCTTAAGACCTTGGTCTTGTTGGACCTGCGAATTTTCACCTTCTTTCTCAACCTCAGTCATCATAACTGCAACTTTGTTGATATCTTTCAATTCATTGTTTCCAATATCCGTTGAAACAGTCGAGATAGAATCATCTTGTTCGTACAAAGGATAATTAACCCCCACAACATTACTCATATTTGAAGCATTTGACTGCGACGCTTTGTTTTGAGCCTCACAGGTTATAGACCTTGTTACAGGCCCTTTTCTTATTCCCTCCATAGATAGTTCAACCAAAGTAGAAATATTTCTCAAGGGTTGCTTACCCTCATCCACCTTGGATTTTCCAACAAAGATAGGACTTTCAATTTGTTTTTGGGGTTCATCATTCGAGAGAGCCCTTTCAATAGCTCCTATAACATTTGTTACCACTGTTCTTAGTTCTAGTTTCTTTAAGGCCTTATTTCTTCTTCGCCTTTGTCTTTTCGAAACTGGACCGGATGACATATCAAGTCGAGCCCCTAAGGGCATAGAAGGAACCGTTTGTGCCTTTGCAAATTCCTCATGAATTTTCAAAACAGTCCCTACATTTTTAGAGTGGGTCAATTGATGTTGATTCAAATCCCGTTGGGCCAACAAGTGCTCCTTATTCGAACATTGTCGGGCCAACGGGTGTTCTTTATTCGAACCCTGTCGAGCCAACGAGTGTTCCTTTGGCTCCTGAGAGTTGATTGAGATTTGGTTTGATCGATTTTGTGCTCTGAACAAAACTATCGGTTCGTAGGCCGCAACTATTTTTTCAACAACAAGGGCCTTTTTTCCATCAACAGGAGTTTGGGTCATCACCCGCCTCCCAATGGCCCTAATGATGGCCATGTTTTCAGCAGAAGCTTTCTTCTAGGCAAACTCCACCATTTTAATGGAGTCTTCTACCCTTTTGAGTAGTTGGGCCACAACATTTTTGGTTGCCCCCGTTGAAGCTGCAACAAAAGTCGTAGTTGCAAACTGATTAGCCTCCTTTGCCTGAATTAGAAAGCTCTGTCACACCAGTTACCTTCGGGACAGCCAAGAGCTTTCGCTCCGGAGCCCCTTGGGTGGCAGGGGAAAGAAGTACATCTTTCCAGGATTTCGTTGGCTCTACCTTTGGGACAGCCAAGAGCATTCGCTCTGGAGCCCCTTGGGTGATGGGTGCTATCTCCACCCTTGGTGATTTCAGAACCACTGGAGTGTAGGTTTGTTTCCTAATAGTTGCTTTAGCATTCCTATAACCAAAGAATACGTCAGTAAGTTTCAACTATATACATATATTATTTTTTTTTTGTTCTTCAAAAGATGGGAGGAGAAATAAGTCCCACTGGGCGTGCCAGAATTTGTAGACACAAATTTTAAAACATGAAGTGTTTCAACACATTTCAAAATTTTATGTTACAAATGTCCACTGTTTAGTTTTTTTTGACTAAACAGTGTTGATTATTTGAATAGCAGGTTCTTATTTCCGATCTGTATTTCAGATCGTTAATTACACATTTTATACAAATGAAACCTCCGATTAATGAAAAACAAAATAAACAACAAAAGACAATTTAAAAAAAAAAAGAATTATTTTATTGAGATTGTTATGGGTTTTGAACCCTCGAATACAAAATACAATTTGGGTTTGGAACTCTTTACCTATTCATCGCCATTAGCGTAGGCTCTTGAGTTCTCTAGGCTTATCTTCTTCTTCTTGTAACGATTTGTTGCTCTCAATTTCTTTCTCTCTCTCTCTGATCTTTTCACTTTTAATTCTTTCCGATTCCCCATCTTGTGTGATGGTCCTCATATTTATGGAGAGCCATTAGGTGATAGGAATGCTTCATCTTCAATTTGAATTTCAAATTGAATGATAGCGCCATTTAAATTTTGAATAATAGCGCTATCTGATTAACCGGATTGATCTTTGGGGTTTCATCCTGTGTGGTGTCCTTGTTGTAGGCTCTACAGATGTCATCTTTCGTAGGCTCCACGTGTCATTTGAGCATCTTGAATAACGTCGTTAAGATACGACGTTGTTTTATTTATACAATTCAACGGAGCAAGTTAATCATTTTGGGAAGTGATTGCCTACAACAATCTTATCGTAGGCTCTATGTGTGTGATTGACTGTATTTGAAATTTAAACATAAATTTAGTTTAAAATTTATGTGCCAACAACCCTCTTCCTTTTTTCCTCAAGAAATTTCTCAGGAAACATTGTGCAAGAGTTATTGCACTATTTTGACATCTTCAAAGGCTTCCTTACCACAGTAATATTAAGATGACATTGTGGCACATTTAAGTTGTCGCTTTGTTGAATAATGTGTATAAAACTATACATATAATATATATAGAGAGAGAGAGAGAGAGTCATTGATGTAACTACAGTTATATTTTAAAATATATATATATTTTTTGGCTTTTTTAGTAAAAAATATTTTTTAAAAAAATACTCTTCATTGATGTAAGGGTGAAATATCAATAAATCTCAAAATATAATATTATGAACGATTTAGTCATCCCATTTTTCTTATAAATCCAAAGATCCTCTTAAAGTGAAAATTACATAAAAAAATAATCACTTACATGTTCAGGTTTAATTTTTTAGAGATAAAAGTAATTTTCTCAAAATATAAAATTACACATTTGAGCAATTTGCACTATAAAAGTTTTGAATTTTTCCTCATTCTAGAACAAATCACACATTACGAACAAAAACCTAAACTCTAATGTAACACTCTAATAACGTAACACTTCAATGTAACACACTAAAAAATTCATTGGTGTACTTTTCTCAAACGTAACACTCCAATGTTACATACTCCAATGTAACACACAAAAATACTAAAAAAACTCCTTAGTGTACTTTTTTTTAAATGCAATACTCATAGTTTGAAATTATATATTTGTTCAAAACTTACTAAGAAATATTTGTACTCCTTAAAAACCACGCAGACCAATTCTTATTAAAAAACAGACCAAATATAACCGATTTAGTCCAGTTCAATCGATTTTTTTCGATTTTTCTTACATCCCTAACCTTGTGAGTCAAGTTATAATTGATTTTTATTTATATTTCTTATTTAGTCGTAAATTAACTTTGAAAGTCAAAATAATTTACTAATTTCCTTTATTTAATTCTAGTTGATTTAGAAAGTCTCCTCCTGACTCTATATAAAGCCATGTAATACTTATAATTTAATAGAGTTAATATTTTCTAAAATTTTCAGAGTTTTGAAATCTCTTTTGGGTTTATATAATGCAATCCTACCCTAGGTGTGATGCCTAAGGTTTCTTTTCTTTTCTTTCTTTCTTTGTTACTTCAAAAGTCCAAATACGTTCACAACCCTCCAAAATAGTGCCATAATCTTATCTTTTCATAATCAAACTCTTACCCCTTTATTACCCTAAACCCTTTAAACCCCTATGTGCTTATTGCAAATTTCAGCCATAAAAACCAATTAAAATCAGCCCCAAAAGCACACTGTCACTGCTGTCCTTACCCATTCTACATCAAGATTCTATGTAAGTTAATCAATTAGGTGAACCAAAAAACAAATAAACAAATAACTGATATATAAAGCTAATATGTAAGTAGAAGTATGCACAATACTGTACTAAAATATACATATACAAAGAGAAAGATAAGCTCACAGATAGACAATCCATATATCTATGTATTCTGAGCAATGATTTTGTATGTAAGGGCAGAAGGGATAATACCCAAAATTGACAGGATAACTTTCCGTGCTGCCAACTGTTCAGCCTCCTTGTTTTTGCCTGCCTCGCCAGTGTAAGTAACACTATTGAATACCAAAGCAGATACACGAAGTGGAAGCAACCCCACTGACCAAGTTGTGTTGTAAGTGGGTTTCTCCAGATGCATCTTGACTGCATATTCAGAGAGGATAGACTTGCAAAAGACTGGAAATTCATGGAGGATAGACTTGCAAAAGACTGTTTCCTGGATAAATGACAAGAGAAGGAGAAAAAAAAAAAGGAGGAAAATGATTCAAATAGTGGCTAAAAAAGAAGAAACTTGAACGCCATAAAAATGAAAAATATAGCCCCAGTCAGTGAAAAATATCTGATTGATTCCCCTGAAAAATATAGCGCCAAGTCTTCCTCTAGCACCAATCAATACATTATAAATTACACATCTCAAGTTCCATTCATTCCTTGAGCTATTACAGGTAAAAAAATATTACAAATTCAAATAAAGAAGCAATACAGATCATATTTGAAGTTTTGTTACAATCATAGAACCAAACAGGAGCTAGCTATAATTGTAAACATTAGAATTAAGCAACAAAATTCTAAGAGACTACAATCAGCTACTTATCTCAACAGTTACAAATATTCTATCTTACTAGTAGGAAACTTGGTAAGACTTTTTTTTTTTTTTTTTTTTGAATAAGTAATAATGTTCTCAAGACAATATTGGCAGCAACATAACAAAAAAATGGGGGCATAGGTATGTCCCTCCAAGTCCCATGCCACTTGGTGAATAAAGAAACTACTTTTTTGATGAATAAAAAGTGAATAGAGAAACTACACAATTGGATAGGGAAGGTGAGTAAATTATGCAACTTTTTACAGTAGACAAAACTTTTATCTCAAAGCACCCGGAAGTAAGAGTGAACTCACTCCACATTTCAAGGCTAACACCTTGTAAGGCAGTGGCCAATCTGTAAAGCAAGAACATATTCCTTAGATTGATACATTCAGGGTACTGTTTATCTCACCCAGAACAGCGCTTGCGCTTTCATTATTTCTTGTTTAATTACTCCCAAACCCTCGCCACTTTAATATCGTGCTGCAGCCCTTAGAACACGTGTATTTACTAACCATTCAGCCACAAAAATCAATAGCAATAGCCTATTAATAATCCTACAAATTTGTTGGATTAATTATCCATTGGATTAATAATCCTAAACCAAAATGTCAAAACAAACATAGGATGATTGGATCCACGGATTAATAATCCCAATCCCATACTTTAATCCTTCCAATCAAACATGCCCTCAGGGTACTGTTTATCTCACCCAGAACAGCCCTTGCGCTTTCATTATTTCTTGTTTAATTACTCCCAAACCCTCGCCACTTTAATATCGTGCTGCAGCCCATAGAACACATGTATGTACTAACCATTCAGCCACAAAAATCAGTAGCTATAGTCCATAAATGCTGCTCTACATCAAATTTGGTCAAACTTGTAAGAATTTTAATCACACTCATCCGGGATCATGCAGCTTTGCCTTACAACGAACAAAGACATAGGGGCTCAACAATTTAATTGAACAATGACTTGGTTCTACAGGGTCCATAATGAAATATATTTTGATCGCAAGTCAAACAAGAAAAGGATGGAGAAAGAAACCAGACCACTCGAAAAGGCTATGTTCTGCCTACAAGTAGTTGAACCTAAAACTTGAGGATATGCATGTAGAAAGTGATTCAGCCATTTATCATCGGATTATCAGATGTAAAAAGAACAATCAAAACAAGATAAATTATAAAGTCCCAATAATGAGACTACCAAAGACGCTGACACGTGAATAAACCAATAATAAATAGACATACTAGGTCCCATAAATTAACCTAGGGTGCTAGGACCTCTTATTTTCTTCCAGCAATGCCTATATTATCCAACCAGAACCTAGATTTCATAATTCATAATTCTTTTGAGACCTTGTTCCAATGGGATAGAGAAGAAATGTATTAAAAAAATTTCGATTAGGTAATAACTAAAACTAAATCAAAACTCGGCCAAAGGTCAAAATTTGAGTGCCAAGAACTTAAAAGGAAAAACCATAAAAAAGAACATATGAAAGCCTCAAGCTACCAAGCCAATTAATCCTTTTAAAATAACAAGGCAAAACTTGGACTAATGAGTTGAAATGAGGATGAATCATTGTGTAACACAACACCCCCTTTCACTAAGCGATAATATTAAAATAAAACCTAACTTAATAAGTTGAAAATTGAAATCATGCATGCCACAAACCTCACGAATAAGTATCTTTTGTGTTATACCATCCAATGCCATCCTAGCAACATCTTGCTCTGCAGCCTTTCGTTGTGAAAATACATCATGAGATGTATATGATGCTCCATCCACCCGGACAGTGGACCTAAACCTTGGCTCATGTGGAACTCCTCCTTTATTAATTGTTTCATAAACTGGGAGTGGAATGGATGATTTTTTAGTGTACTCTTGCAAACGGTTCTTGTACATTGCAAGTTTCGGACGATCTAGCAATATTAAGGAAAACATATTATCACAAAATGCACTTCAAGCTCCCACTGAATAGTTTGTTTTCAAGTATTGGCATCTGTAAACTAATTTCAAAAAGTGCATGATCAAGAAATTAGAACCTTTCAAGTACAACGATGAGCAACCATGTGGAAACTTTTTTGTCATTCACACAACAGCTCTAAGGAAGTCCAGCTAAGTAACCCAGAACAGTCAGCACACGGTTCGGTTGGGTCAGTTCAGGTTTACCCCTGAACCATCAACTGGCTGCCAACATTCGGATGGAGAAAATGTCAACCTGATTCGACACAAACCCCTTTTGAAACCGTCTGCTTATGCTATTCGGTTTCACAGTCGGTATATGTTCGAGTATCGGGTTGGACCTCACTCAAATGCAACTGGGAATCTCATTAGATATACCAATTTGGTAAACAAGAACGAAAAAAAAAAAATTGAAACAAATTTATCACTTTCCTTTAGCATAGATCTATTAATTTGGTAAACACAATCAAAAAATTTGAAACAAGATCTCGTAACCTAATATTGCATTTAGGTTTTCGTTGGACTTCCTTATAGCAGTGAGACAGAGAGAGTGTGGGTTTTAGAGAGAGAGAGTTTTCGTTGGACTTCCTCAGAGCATCTCCAAGGCATGAGGTAAATGGAGAGAATTAGGCATTTTACCTATTGAAGCTGCATTTCTAGGACTCCAAATGGTGAGGCATTTTGCCCCTTCTCGTTTTGGCTCTCCACAAGTAGCCAGCCTCCATTGCTAGGCAAAGTGTGTTCCCGCCAGGTGACTCTCTTTCCCAAGGTGACTCTCTTTCTCTCTTTCCCGTTCTTCCCCATCAACGATCTCTCTCAACCCACGTCCTGCCCCTTCCATGATTCATACCCAGATTTCTCCCCATATTACCATACTAATACCATTGCCATAACCCTTTTCAAGTTCATAATTTAAAAATCAATTAAACAATTTCGATAGTGAGAGAGAGAGAGAGAGAGAGAGAGAGTTGTGACCATTCAACGACGCTGGAGACGTGGATGGCCCATGTGGGCAAAGAGAGGGCATTTGGGGGTTCATAGAGCGGCAAAGAAGAAGAACCCATCATCAATGGAAGCTCGGCAGCAGAGGCGGGTTCCACTACTAGGGTGAGGGCAAACCCAGCAGCACCCAAAAGAGAAGCAGCCATGGCTTTGCTGATCTTGAATATACTGTAAATGATGGTTTTTGAGGAATGGGTTCGTTGAATTGGGTGAGAAACAATACCAATCTCATTGAATTTGTGAAGAGGAAAGGGTCTTTGAGGAACCAGTAAAGGTCGCTGCTGCCATGACTTTGAGTGAGGTGTGTGTGTGCGCGCGTGTGTCAAGCAATGACCCCCAATACAATTTGAGGACCCATTTCTCAATCAAATACACACCATAAATAATTAAATAAAAGTGATTAAAAAGTTTTTATATATATTAAAAATAAATGATAAAAATTAGAGGAAATCACAAATACATTACTTAAAATTTATTTAAAATACAAGTTGATTCCTATTATTTTAAAATTACTCTTTGGAATTGATAGGAAATGATTATATTTTTCTCTTGTAATAGTTTTCTTTTCAAAATTAATGTTTATGCTAATTTTTTTTAAAAAAAATTAGTTAAATTGATTGGTTAGCTAAAATAAAGAGTATGGTTGGAGTGTACACTAGCTAAACTAAATAGACAAAATAGAGAAGGTAGTTTTCTGTGTACTTTGAGGAGCCATTTTAGAGAGTATGGTTGGAGATGCACTTAGACTAGTGAGAGAGAGAGAGTTAGAGAGAGAGAGAGAGTACCTGCAGCACCAGCGTAAGAGAGAGAGAAAGCGAGTCGAAAATCTGAGGAAGTGGTGGGAGATTTGAAGTGGTGGGACGTAGTCGTATTTTGAGTAATGCCATTAATGAGATAGGCTAGCATGCGCATGGTGCGTAGAGCTCTGCTCACGTTTGCTTCTTTTTTTTTAATCTTTCGGGTTCAAAAAAGATAAAATAATTTTTTTAATCTAATAAAATATCGCATTTAAGTAGTTGTTGGGGATAAACTAAAAAAGTGTATTTTTTGACTTTTCATGAAATATGGGTTGAGTATGGGCTATGTTTGAAGTGATGTATAAGATGATGTGACTTAAATAGGATAATGACTTTTTTACTTTTTTAGATTATGCCAAACCAAGCCTTAAATCATAATAATTCTATTTTTTACGTCCACGGGAAAATAACCGGTTATCACTATAACAATGACGAGATTACAGAAAGATTACAACAGAGGAGGAGCTCACACTCTCCTCACTCAGCTACTCTCCCGTCTCCCTCGCTCACACTGAGAGAGACGGTCTCTCCGCTTCACATCTCTCACTCTTTGTTGTTCTTGGTTCTCACATTTTCACCTCTCTTCTCAACCTCCATTTATACACATTGGAGGAGAGGTGTGATTGGTCACCATCTACCCCTATGATGGCTTCTCCTCAAGTGTCAACAATGGTGGCCTGTCCGCATTTCTTGCCAACCAATTGTCAACCATGGTAGCTGCCATTCTTGACTTGGTTGGTTGCCTTCCCATGGGTGAATTCAACACTAGTGGGATAGAGAAGAAATGTATTAAAAAAAATTCCGATTAGGTAATAACTAAAACTAAATCAAAACTCGGCCAAATGTCAAAATTTGAGTGGCAGGAACTTAAAAGTAAAAACCATAAAAAAGAACATATGAAAGCCTCAAGCTACCAAGCCAATTAATCCTTTTAAAATAAGAAGGCAAAACTTGAACTAGTGAGTTGAAATGAGGATGAATCATTGTGTAACACAACACTCCATTTCACTACGTGATAATATTAAACTAAAACCTAACTTAGTAAGTTGAAAATTGAAATCATGCATACCACAAACCTCACGAATAAGTATCTTTTGTGTTATACCATCCAATGCCACCCTGCCAACATCTTGCTCTGCAGCCTTTCGTTGTGAAAGTACATCATGAGATGTATATGATGCTCCATCCACCCGGACAGTGGACCTAAACCTTGGCTCATGTGGAACTCCTCCTTCATTAATTGTTTCATAAACTGGGAGTGGAATTGATGATTTTTGAGTGTACTCTTGCAAACGGTTCTTGTGCATTGCGAGTTCCGAAGGATCTAGCAATATTAAGGAAAACATACTATCACAAAATGCACTTCAAGCTCCCAATGAATAGTTTGTTTTCAAGTATTGGCATCTGTAAACTAATTTCAAAAAGTGCATGATCAAGAAATTATAACCTCTCAAGTACAACGATGAGTAACCAAGTGGAAACGTTTTTGTCATTCACACAACAACTCTAAGGAAGTCCAGCTAAGTAACCCAGAACATTCAATACACGGTTCGGTTGGGTCAGTTTGGGTTTACCCCTGAACCGTCAACTGGTTGCCAACATCCGGATGGAGAAAATGTCAACCTGATTTGACACAAACCCCTTTTAAAACCGTCTGCTTATGCTATTCGGTTTCACAGTCGGTAAATGTTCGAGTATCGGGTTGGACCTCAACTCAAATGCAACTGAGAATCTCATTAGATCTACCAATTTGGTAAACAAGAACGAAAAAAAAATAAAAAATTGAAACAAATTTATCACTTCCCTTCAACATAGATCTATTAATTTGGTAAACACAAATAAAAGAGAATAAAAAACTTTGAAATAAGATCTCGTAATCTGATATTACATTTAGAGTTTTCGTTGGACTTCCTTAGAGCAATGAGAGAGAGAGAGAGAGAGGGTTTTCGTTGGACTTCCTTATAGCAGTGAGAGAGAGAGAGAGAGAGAGAGAGAGAGAGTACCTGCAGCACCAGTGTAAGAGAGATAGAAAACGAGTCGAATATCTGAGGAAGTGGTGGGAGATTTGAAGTGGTGGGACGTAGTCGTATTTTGAGTGATGCCATAAATGAGATAGGCTTGCATGCGCCTGGTGCGTAGAGCTCTGCTCGTGCTTGCTTCTTTTTTTTTAATCCATCGGGTTCAAAAAAGATAAAATAATTTTTTTAATCTAATAAAATATCACATTTAAGTAGTTGTTTGGGATAAACTAAATAAGTATATTTTTTGACTTTTTATGAAATATGGGTTGAGTATGGGTTAGGTTTGAAGTGACGTATAAGATGATGTGACTTAAATAGGATAATGACTTTTTGACTTTTTTAGATTATGCCAAACCAAGCCTTAAACCATAATAATTTTATTTTTTTTATAAATGTTAAAAAAATTTAAAAATTTATTCCAAACAAAAATTTTTAATACCAAATTAAAATAATCAAAAAGACAAAAAAACTAACCCATATTCCAAGGGCCTGTTTGGTAATGTTTATGTTTTCAGTTTATATTTACAAAAATTTTATAAATTGGTTTTTGTTTATTTTTAGAAAAACATAACCTACAAATGCGTTTGGTTTAGAAAAAATGTTTTAAAAATTTTAAAAATATAAAAAAGAGTAAGAAATGGCAAGTGGTGGCAGGTGCGCGGACTTACTGGCCACGTGGCGATGACTGGACCAATGCCGTGGCAGCCACGTGGCACTTCCTGCGGTGCCACATGTCGATGTCGTGGCTCGATGACATGGACGCCATGTCTCGTTCACTGGACGGACACGTTACATTGGCGTGGATGCTGCGTGGCGCTGGTTGATGTCCATGTGGTGATGACATGGAGGCGCGTGGCAGGCACGTGTTTGACACTCGCTGCCTATCACTCACCTTCTTCCCTCCGCCGCACGTGGGGCGCGTGCTGGCTAGTGAGAAGACGTGCCGGCTTCTCTTCACGGCGCGTGGGGCGCGTGGGGCGCGTGCTGTGACTGGGCCTCACGCGCCATCTGCAGGAGGCACGTGGGGGCGTGTCCGAGGTCTTCTGTGGCTGTGCTTTGCACTTCTGGACTCCTCTCGTCGCGACCTTACTCCTGGTATGCTCAAAAAACTATTTTCGAACAACTTGATTTCTGGATAGTTTCGAACAACACACTGTTTTTGTTCCAAAACGCCATCGACGAGGCTCTGATACCACTTGTTGGGATTTGGGATTCCGCCCAAGACCTTATAGAAATCATAGCAAGCAGAGAAACACACCCACATAGAAGGAGACACCATATTTAACGTGGTTCGGCATTAAAGCCTACGTCCACGGGAGAGTAACCGGTTATCACTATAACAATGGGGAGGTCATAGAAAGATTACAATAGAGGAGGAGCTCACACTTTCCTCACTCAGCCACTCTTCCTTCTCCCTCGCCCACACCGAGAGAGACGGTCTCTCCGCCTCACATCCCTTACTCTTTGTTGTTCTTGGTTCTCACATTTTCACCTCTCCTCTCAACCTCCATTTATACACATTGGAGGAGAGGCGTGATTGGTCACCACCTACACCTATGATGGCTTCTCCTCAAGTGTCAACAATGGTGGCTTGTTCGCATTTCTTGCCAACCAATTGTCAACCATGGTAGCTGCCATTCTTGACTTGGTTGGTTGCCTTCCCATGGGTGAATTCAACACCAGTGGGATAGAGAAGAAATGTATTAAAAAAATTCCGATTAGGTAATAACTAAAACTAAATCAAAACTCGACCAAAGGTCAAAATTTGAGTGGCAAGAACTTGAAAGTAAAAACTATAAAAAAGAACCTATGAAAGCCTCAAGCTACCAAGCCAATTAATCCTTTTAAAATAACAAGGCAAAACTTGAACTAGTGAGTAGAAATGAGGATGAATCATTGTGTAACACAACACTCCCTTTCACTAAGCGATAATATTAAAATAAAACCTAACTTAGTAAGTTGAAAATTGAAATCATGCATGCCGCAAACCTCACGAATAAGTATCTTTTGTGTTATACCATCCAATGCCACCCTGACAACATCTTGCTCTGCAGCCTTTCGTTGTGAAAATACATCATGAGATGTATATGATGCTCCATCCACCCGGACAGTGGACCTAAACCTTGGCTCATGTGGAACTCCTCCTTCATTAATTGTTTCATAAACTGAGAGTGGAATGGATGATTTTTGAGTGTACTCTTGCAAAGGGTTCTTGTACATTGCGAGTTCCGGAGGATCTAGCAATATGAAGGAAAACATATTATCGCAAAATGCACTTCAAGCTCCCAATGAATAGTTTGTTTTCAAGTATTGGCATCTGTAAACTAATTTCAAAAAGTGCATGATCAAAAAATTAGAACCTTTCAAGTACAACGATGAGCAACCATGTGGAAACTTTTTTGTCATTCACACAATAGCTCTAAGGAAGTCCAACTAAGTAACCCAGAACATTCAGCACACGGTTCGGTTGGGTCACTTCGGGTTTACCCCTGAACCGTCAACTGGCTGCCAACATTCGGATGGAGAAAATGTCAACCTGAGTTGACACAAACCCCTTTTGAAACTGTCTGCTTATGCTATTCGGTTTCACAGTCGATATATGTTCGAGTATCGGGTTGGACCTCAACTCAAATGCAACTGAGAATCTCATTAGATCTACCAATTTGGTAAATAAGAACGAAAAGAAAAATAAAAAATTGAAACAAATTTATCACTTTCCTTCAGCATAGATCTATTAATTTGGTAAGCACAAATAAAAGTAAATCAAAAAATTTGAAACAATATCTCGTAATCTAATATTACGTATAGGGTTTTCGTTGGACTTCCATACAGCAGTGTGAGAGAGAGAGAGAGAGGGTGAGTTTTAGAGAGAGAGGGTTGTCATTGGACTTCCTTAGAGCAGTGAGAGAGATAGAGAGAGAGAGAGAGAGAGAGAGAGTATCTGCAGCACTAGTGTAAGTGAGAAAGAAAGCGAGTCGAAAATCAGAGGAAGTGGTGGGAGATTTGAAGTGGTGGCACGTAGTCGTATTTTGAGTGATGCCATTAATGAGATAGGCTAGCATGCGCGTGGTGCGTAGAGCTCTGCTCACGTTTGCTTCTTTTTTTTTAATCATTCGGGTTCAAAAAAGATAAAATAAATTTTTTAATCTAATAAAATATCACATTTAAGTAGTTGTTTGAGATAAACTAAATAAGTGTATTTTTTGATTTTTTATGAAATATGTGTTGAGTATGGGTTAGATTTGAAGTGATATATAAGATGATATGACTTAAATAGAATAATGACTTTTTGACTTTTTTAGATTATGCCAAACCAAGCCTTAAATCATAATAATTTTATTTTTCTTTATAAAAGTTAAAAAAATTTAAAAATTTATTCCAAATAAAAATTTTTAATAGCAAATTAAAATAATCAAAAAGACAAAAAAACTAACCCATATTGCAAGAGCTTGTTTGGTAATGTTTACGTTTTCAGTTTATATTTACAAAAATTTTATAAATTGGTTTTTGTTTATTTTTAGAAAAACATAAACTACAAATGCGTTTGGTTTAGAAAAAATGCTTGAAAAATTTTAAAAATATAAAAAAGAGTGAAAAATGGCAAGTAGTGGTAGGTGCGCTGACTGGCCTGCCACGTGGCGATGATTGGACCAATGCCGTGGCAGCCACGTGGCACTTCCTGCTAATGTGGTGCCACGTGTCGATGACGTGGCTCGATAACATGGATGCCACGTGTCGCTGACTGGACAGATACACGGCACTGGTTGATGGCCACATGGCGATGACGTGGAGGCGCGTGGCAGGCACTTGTTTGACACGCGCTGCCTCCCACTCACCTTCTTCCTTCCGACGCGCGTGGGGCGTGTGCTGGGGCGTGAGAAGACGCGCCGGCTTCTCTTCACGGCGCGTGGGTCGCGTGCTGTGACTGGGCCTCACGCGCCACCTTCAGGAGGCGCGTGGGGGCGCGTCCGACGTCCTCTGTGGCTCTTCTTTGCATTTCTAGACTTCTCTCGTCAAGACCAATCTCCTGGTTTGCTCAAAAAACTGATTTTGAGCAACTAGAGTTTTGGACAGTTTCGAACAACACACTGTTTTTGTTCCGAAACGCGATCGACGAGGCTCTGATACCACTTGTTGGGATCTGGGATCCCGCCCAAGACCTTGTAGGAATCATAGCAAGTAGAAAAACACACCCACACAGAAGGAGACACCATATTTAACATGGTTCAGCATTAAAGCCTACATCCACGGGACAGTAACCGGTTATCACTATAACAATAGAGAGATTATAGAAAGATTACAATAGAGAAGGAGCTCACACTTTCCTCACTCAGCCACTCCCCCTTCTCCCTCGCTCACACCGAGTGAGACGGTCTCTCCGCCTCACATCCCTCACTCTTTGTTGTTCTTGGTTCTCACATTTTCACCTCTCCTCTCAACCTCCATTTATACACATTGGAGGAGAGGTGTGATTGGTCACCACCTACTCCTATGATGGCTTCCCCTAAAGTGTCAACAATGGTGGCTTGTCCACATTTCTTGCCAACCAATTGTCAACCATGGTAGCTGCCATTCTTGACTTGGTTGGTTGCCTTCCCATAGGTGAATTCAACACCAGTGGGATAAAGAAGAAATGTATTAAAAAAATTCCGATTAGGTAATAACTAAAACTAAAGCAAAACTCGGCCAAAGGTCAAAATTTGAGTGGCAAGAACTTAAAAGTAAAAATCATAAAAAAGAACATATGAAAGCCTCAAGCTACCAAGCCAATTAATCCTTTTAAAATAAGAAGGCAATACTTGAACTAGTGAGTTGAAATGAGGATGAATCATTGTGTAACACAACACTCCCTTTCACTAAGCGATAATATTGAAATAAAACCTAACTTAGTAAGTTAAAAATTGAAATCATGCATGCCACAAACCTCACGAATAAGTATCTTTTGTGTTATACCATCCAATGCCACCCTGACAACATCTTGCTCTGCAGCCTTTCGTTGTGAAAATACATCATGAGATGTATATGATGCTCCATCCACCCGGACAGTGGACCTAAACCTTGGCTCATGTGGAACTCCTCCTTCATTAATTGTTTCATAAACTGGGAGTGGAATGGATGATTTTTGAGTGGACTCTTGCAAAGGGTTCTTGTACATTGCGAGTTTCGGAGGATCTAGCAATATTAAGGAAAACATATTATCATAAAATGCACTTCAAGCTCCCAATGAATAGTTTGTTTTCAAGTATTGGCATCTGTAAACTAATTTCAAAAAGTGCATGATCAAGAAATTAGAACCTTTCAAGTACAACGATGAGCAACCATGTGAAAACTTTCTTGTCATTCACACAACAGCTCTAAGGAAGTCCAGCAAGGTAACCCAGAACATTCAGCACACGGTTCGGTTGGGTCAGTTCGGGTTTACCCCTGAACCGTCATCTGGCTGCCAACATTCGGATGGAGAAAATGTCAACCTGATTCGACACAAACCCCTTTTGAAACCGTCTGCTTATGCTATTCGGTTTCACAGTCGGTATATGTTCGAGTATCGGGTTGGACCTCAACTCAAATGCAACTGAGAATCTCATTAGATCTACCAATTTGGTAAACAAGAACGAAAAAAAAAAAAAATTGAAACAAATTTATCGCTTTCCTTCAGCATAGATCTATTAAATTGGTAAACACAAATAAAAAAAAAATAAAAAAATTTGAAACAAGATCTCGTAATCTAATATTACATTTAGGGTTTTCGTTGGACTTCCTTAGAGCAGAGAAAGAGAGAGAGAGAGAGAGAGTACTTGCAGCACCAGTGTAAGAGAGAGAGAAAGCAAGTCGAAAATCTGAGGAAGTGGTGGGAGATTTGAAGTGGTGGGACGTAGTCGTATTTTGAGCGATGCCATTAATGAGATAGGCTAGCATGAGCGTGGTGTGTAGAGCTCTGCTCGCGCTTGCTTCTTTTTTTTTAATCCTTCGGGTTGAAAAAAGATAAAATAAATTTTTTAATCTAATAAAATATCACATTTAAGTAGTTGTTTGGGATAAACTAAACAAGTGTATTTTTTGACTTTTTATGAAATATGGGTTGAGTATGGATTAGGTTTGAAGTGATGTATAAGATGATGTGACTTAAATAGGATAATGACTTTTTGACTTTTTTAGATTATGCCAAACCAAGCCTTAAATCAGAATAATTTTATTTTTTTATAAAAGTTAAAAAAGTTGAAAAATTTATTCCAAATAAAATTTTTTAATACCAAATTAAAATAATCAAAAAGACAAAAAAACTAACCCATATTCCGAGGGCCTGTTTGTTAATGTTTACGTTTTCAGTTTATATTTACAAAAATTTTACAAATTGGTTTTTGTTTATTTTTAGAAAAACATAAACTACAAACGCGTTTGGTTTAGAAAAAATGTTTAAAAAATTTTAAAAATATAAAAAAAGTGAGAAATGGCAAGTGGTGGCGGGTGCGCTGGCTGGCCTGCCACGTGGCGATGACTGGACTCATGCCGTGGCAGCTATGTGGCACTTCCCGCTGACGTGGCTCGATGACATGGACGCCATGTGTCGCTGACTGGACGGACACGTGGCACTTGTTGATAGCGACGTGGCGATGATGTGGAGGCGCGTGTTTGACACGCTGTAGACACCCCATTTTTGACCGTCCTCAAGACTTGGACGTCACCGTTTGAACACCCGGTGATCATCCATGTTTGTGTTCGTTTGGAGTTCCCGGAGGTCTCGGCTACACCCTTTGCCTCAGGATCTCCGAACTCGACTGTTTAGTGTCTGGTTTTGCACCAAACACTTGTGTTTTGCCTTGGAAGGGCAGGGAATGCCTTGTGAGGCATCCCCACACACCACCGGCCATGGCCAGAGGCCACCGGCTGGTTTTTGATGCCACCGGCAATGTATATTGCCGGTCGGCACTATTTATTGCCGGTCGGCACTCACTTTTGCCAAAATGGCATCTTTGGCCGACCGACTACTGTGCATCTGCTTTTGCAGATATTTTATCACAGCTGTCTTGCATTTGGCTCCCCTCCATACACATGGAGGGATCTCCCTCTTTAGAAGCTTGTCTTGTAAGCTTTACAAGACAAGAAGCTCTATAAGAGGAGCCCTTCTCTCCCTTGTTTAGGGTTAGAGACTTTGGACATTCTAGAGATAGAAAACACAGAGGAGAGCTCTGGTTTTAGGGTTAGGGTTTGATACATATTCTATCTCTCTTTCATCTCCTATCTCTCTTTTTCTCTCTTTGTGCTCTAGGTGTTTTAGTTCATACTATTGCACACAAACACCTAGTGTTTCACCTTCCTTTGGCTCCTGAGGTTCTAAGGGGCTGATTTTGGTGTTTTGGTGCTGGATTCAAGCCAAGGAGGGCTATTGGAGCATCATTTGTGAAGGTGGTCTACAAGGGTGAGAAACTTCCCTTTTATTCTCCATTTTTGCATTGCTTTTCTACCTATCTTAGAGCTGTTTTTGTGCTTAGTGTATAATACAAAAAATTTCTGTTTTTTAGCCCTCTTGATTGTTTATTAATAGTCTTTTGTGGTTTGGGTTTGTTTGACCCCTCCTAAGCCTTGTAAGGCTCCATTTTGTGCTATTTTTGTGCAAGTTTCGAGACTTTGGTGTTTGGGCCTCTTCACCACTGAAATCTTGAGGGATTTCAGTGGTGAAGATGGTGCCTTGAAGTCTCCAAAAGGGGAGGGCCACCCCCTCTCCTTGTTGTCCTTGAAAGGGACCCTTTTTGGCCTCTTGAGGGAGCATCATGTTAGAATGTATAGTGGTCATGTCTTGGCTGTTTTCCATGCTTATTATGCCATGATATAACCTTATTGCATGTTGGTTTTGGTACACCATGCATGCTTAGCATACCTACCATGTAATGCCTTGTTATTGCCTTAATATGCCTTAGGTTGTTAGCCTTTGCTCTAGCATGTTTTAGGCTTAGTCTTGTGAAGGTTTTATGATCATTTTGCCATGTTTTAGGTCTGTCCTAGGTTGTTTGGGTCGGATTTGGCATGCTTAGTATAGTCCCTTTGCATTCCGGCTTGTTGGCCTTAAGTATGTGAATGTGTAGTATGTGTTGCTTGCATCATTTCGGTGGTTTGGAACCACCCTACATGTTATTTCAGTCCCTTTGGCATGCTTATATGCTTGTATTCCATGACCCTTTTGATGTTTCAAGAGTTGATGTTTCATGCTTCAGGTTTATGCCATGGTGTATGCCTCTAGGATTAGGTTACTTGGATGCCATCTAAGTGGTTCTTGAGGCTTGCTTTTGCATAATTGGGACTGTTTTGATTCAATTTGGTCATTTGCTTCATGAGTCATATGATCATGCTTTAGGTCCTTGGGTCTCGTTGCATGCATAGCTTGCATTGGTAGGTTAATTTGGCATCATTTCCTACATGTTTTCAAGGCTTATAATGCATGTCATATGTCCATGACTATTCCCTTTTAAATGTGCTTAGAAGTAGCCCTTTGATGCTTAAGCATTTGTGCCTAAGTGTTGGCCCTTTAACATGTGCATGTGTGTATGTGTATTTGGTCCTTTATTTTGGTCACTTTGGCCACTGTTTTGGGTCTATTTAGAGTTGCCTAAATCATGTATAAGTCCACCTTTTCATCAATTTGCATTGCCTCATGTTTGCTTGTATGCTTGCATAAGTGTCTTGCCATGCCATGTTGCGCCCTTAGCTTGCATGCCTAGGTTGCATTGCATCTCGTATGCGTGCCTTGTTCCTTGACTTTGTGATAGGAATTGGGCCTTGGTTCGTTTGTTTGGTTTGCATTTCATTTGACATGAAAGTTGCACACTTGATTCTTTGGGCCATCATGCATGGAAATACGTGATTGGTGGTCCGAGAATCGAGACACATGCCCTTTTGAGTCACAAAAACATGATAGGGGACATGATTGGTGCATACATTCCTTGAATTGTATTGCCATGCAAGTTCTGTCCTCTGCTGCTGTGAGTTGCAGGTTCTGCAAGCATTCTTTGCCGACTGGCAGTATATATTGCCGACCGGCAGTATATTACCAGCCGATGGATTTATTTCGTGCCGGTGACCATAATTCACTGCCGGTGGTAATTCTACTCAACCGGTGGTGATTCCCAGTATCCAGAGAGGCATCCTTGAGACTTTGGCAGTCTTCAGAGAGGCAGAGCAGGGAAAACAGAGGCAAACTATGCATGGCCGTGCACTTCCGAGCAGGACCCGAGCATGCGCTGCATCTGGCTCCCTTCCCGAGGCGGTTTACTGCTTTTCCTTGTTTAAATTAGTTTGTTAACTGATTAGGCAATTTGTAATATTTAATTAGCTTGCGTAGTTAATTAATTTGTATTATATTCTTTCGGTCGCTCCGGGCGAGGGCAAATCTGTAATAAATGTGTGTGAGTGGTGTGTATGCCTTCCAATCCCCACGTCTTTCTTCCCTTTTATTTACCCGCTTTTGATGGTAGATTAGGGCACGTTTAAATTAGCATACCTCATGCAATGCATGCGTGCATTCATTCATTTGTCTCACATGTACCAAGCTCGGCGCATCATTCTAACTGCATCTGCATTTCAAATTCCAAATTGAATACGTGCATCAATCGATTGACTGCATTTCACGTACCATGTTTAGGGTTAGCCGAGCATGTCTAGATTGCATTTTTGCATGCGATGCATTAGCCATTTTTAACATGAACTAGGATCACGCATGTTTACTAACTAGTTTATTGTTTTGGCACGGAGTACGATGTAAGTATTTTCGCTTTAGCATGTTGCATGCGTGCGAATATTGCCATGACAATATGCTTGCCATGTGGCTAGATGCTTATGTGTTATAAACTGTTTGAATGCCTGTGGGTGAAGGTTGGGTTGTTTGAGTTGAGGAAACTCGTTGAAATCCGTATTTTAGCCTACTTGCGAGTAGCAAATCCCAAAACATTTTTCCAAAACAAACGGATATGCAATACTTATTTCCAAATTAGGCAATCTAGTCTATACTTGTTTGCTGTGCGCATAACATAGTAATTCTAGGCTAATAACCGGAATAAGAACACATAAGGTTTTCAAAAATGGATATCACGGTTAGTAGAGGCCGGTTTTCGGACCGGGCGAAAGGGGGTGCTCATAGCTAACCTTCCCCGATCGTACCCAAGCTCCCGAGCCGAGGCAACTTTGGCAACGACGGACACGTGGCCTTCGGCACCGAGTCAGGGTTTTCTAAATTTTCCCATGAAAAAATATTTAGGTGGCGACTCTGTATCTGGCGAAGCAGTCCATGTTTGGCACTTCTTTCAAAAATCTGTTTTTCTCAAAATGATTTGCCGGATTTGGACTCTTCGGTTCAGATTAGGAACCGTGACAAATCGAGAGTCCGAACTGTAGTAAGCCCACAAATGAACGGAACAGGACTCACCCTCCCGGGGTGTTCGGGGACATCTACACACGCGCTGCCTCCCACTCACCTTCTTCCTTTCGCTGCGCGTGGGGCGCATGCTGGCGCGTGAGAAGACGTGCCGACTTCTCTCCATGACGCGTGGGGCGCGTGCTGTGATTGGGCCTCACGCGCCATCTGCAGGAGGCACGTAGGGGAGCGTCCGACATCTTCTGTGGCTCTGCTTTGCACAGTTGGACTCCTCTCGTCGCGACCTTGCTCCTGGTATGCTAAAAAAACTGATTTCGAGCAACTTGATTTCTGGACAGTTTCGAAAAACACACTGTTTTTGTTCTGAAACGCCATCGACGAGGCTCTGATACCACTTGTTGGGATCTGGAATCCCGCCCAAGACCTTATAGAAATCATAGCAAGCAGAGAAACACACCCAAATAGAAGGAGACACCATATTTAAGCATTAAAGCCTACGTCCACGGGAGAGTAACTGGTTATCACTATAACAATGGAGAGATTGTAGAAAGATTACAATAGAGGAGGAGCTCACACTTTCCTCACTCAGTCACTCTCCCGTCTCTCTCGCTCACACCGAGAGAGACGGTCTCTCCGCCTCACATCCCTCACTCTTTGTTATTCTTGGTTCTCATAGTTTCACCTCTCCTCTCAACCTCCATTTATACACATTGGAGGAGAGGTGTGACTGGTCACCACCTACCCCTATGATGGCTTCTCCTCAAGTGTCAACAATGGTGGCTTGTCCACATTTCTTGCCAACCAATTGTCAACCATGGTAGCTGCCATTCTTGACTTGGTTGGTTGCCTTCCCATGGGTGAATTTAACACCAGTGGGATAGAGAAGAAATGTATTAAAAAAATTTCGATTAGGTAATAACTAAAACTAAATCGAAACTCGGCCAAAGGTCAAAATTTGAGTGGCAAGAAGTTAAAAGTAAAAACCATAAAAAAGAACATATGAAAGCCTCAAGCTACCAAGCCAATTAATCCTTTTAAAATAGCAAGGCAAAACTTGAACTTGTGAGTAGAAATGAGGATGAATCATTGTGTAACACAACACTCTCTTTCACTAAGCGATAATATTAAAATAAAACCTAACTTAGTAAGTTGAAAATTGAAATCATGCATGCCACAAACCTCAAATCATTGTGTAACATAACACTCCCCTTCACTAAGCGATAATATTAAAATAAAACCTAACTTAGTAAGTTGAAAATTGAAATCATGCATGCCACAAACCTCACGAATAAGTATCTTTTGTGTTATACCATCCAATGCCACCTTGGCAACATCTTGCTCTGCAGCCTTTCGTTGTGAAAATACATCATGAGATGTATATGATGCTCCATCTACCCGGACAGTAGACCTAAACCTTGGCTCATGTGGAACTCCTCCTTCATTAATTGTTTCATAAACTGGGAGTGGAATGGATGATTTTTGAATGAACTCTTGCAAAGGGTTCTTGTACATTGCGAGTTCCGGAGGATCTAGCCATATTAAGGAAAACATATTATCACAAAATGCACTTCAAGCTCCCAATGAATAGTTTGTTGTCAAGTATTGGCATCTGTAAACTAATTTTTAATCCTTCGGGTTCAAAAAAGATAAAATAATTTTTTTAATCTAATAAAATATCACATTTAAGTAGTTGTTTGGGATAAACTAAATAAGTGTATTTTTTGACTTTTTATGAAATATGGGTTGAGTATGGGTTAGGTTTGAAGTGATGTACAAGATGATGTGACTTAAATAGGATAATGACTTTTTAACTTTTTTAGATTATGCCAAACCAAGCCTTAAATCATAATAATTTTATTTTTTTTATAAAAGTTAAAAAAGTAAAAAATTTATTCCAAATAAAAATTATTAATAGCAAATTAAAATAATCAAAAAGACAAAAAAACTAACCCATGTTCCAAGGGCCTGTTTGGTAATGTTTACGTTTTCAGTTTATATTTACAAAAATTTTATAAATTTGTTTTTGTTTATTTTTAGAAAAAATAAACTTCAAACGCGTTTGGTTTAGAAAAAAAATTTTAAAATTTTTTAAAAATATAAAAAAGAGCAAGAAATGACAAGTGGTGGCGGGTGCGCTGACTGGCCTGCCACGTGGCGATGACTGGACCAAGGCCGTGGCAGCCACGTGGCAGCCACGTGGCACTTTCTGCTGACGTGGTGCCATGTGTCGATGACGTAGCTCGATGACATGGACGCCACGTGTCGTTGACTGGACGGACACGTGGCATTGGCGTGAATGCCGTGTGGCTTTAGTTGATGGCCGCATGGCTCTGGTTGATGGCCACGTGGCGATGACGTGGAGGCGCGTGGCAGGCGCGTGTTTGACACGCGCTGCCTCCCACTTACCTTCTTCCTTCCGCCGCGCGTGGGGCGCATGCTGGCGCGTGAAAAGCAGCGCCGACTTCTCTTCACGGCGCGTGGGGCGTGTGCTATGACTGGACCTCACACGCCATCTTTAGGAGGCGCGTGGGGGTGCGTCCGATGTCTTCTGTGGCTCTTCTTTGCACTTCTAAACTCCTCTCGTCGAGACCTTGCTCCTGGTATGCTCAAAAAATTGACTTCGAGTACTTGATTTCTGGACAATTTCGACCAACACATTTTTTTTGTTCCGAAACGCCACTGATGAGGCTCTGATACCACTTGTTGGGATCTGGGATCTCGCCCAGGACCTTATAGAAATCATAGCAAGCAGAAAAACACACCCACAAAGAAGGAGGCACCATATTTAACGTGGTTCGGCATTAAAGCCTACGTCCACGGGAGAGTAACCGGTTATCACTATAACAATGGAGAGATTACAGAAAGATTACAAATAGAGGATGAGCTCACACTCTCCTCACTCAGCCACTCTCCCATCTCCCTCGCTCACACCGAGAGAGACGGTCTCTCCGCCTCACATCTATCACTCTTTGTTGTTCTTGGTTCTCACATTTTCACCTCTCCTCTCAACCTCCATTTATACACATTGGAGGAGAGGTGTGATTGGTCACCACCTACCCCTATGATGGCTTCTCCTCAAGTGTCAACAATGGTGGCTTGTCCACATTTCTTGCCAACCAATTGTCAACCATGGTAGCTGCCATTCTTGACTTGGTTGGTTGCCTTACCATGGGTGAATTCAACACCAATGGGATAGAGAAGAAATGTATTAAAAAAATTCCGATTAGGTAATAACAAAAACTATATCAAAACTCGGCCAAAGGTCAAAATTTGAGTGGCAAGAAGTTAATAGTAAAAACCATAAAAAAGAACATATGAAAGCCTTAAGCTACCAAGCCAATTAATCCTTTTAAAATAACAAGCCAAAACTTGAACTAGTGAGTTGAAATGAGGATGAATCATTATATAACATAATACTCCCTTTCACTAAGCGATAATATTAAAATAAAACATAACTTAGTAAGTTGAAAATTGAAATCATGCATGCCACAAACCTCACGAATAAGTATCTTTTGTGTTATACCATCCAATGCCACCCTGGCAACATCTTGCTCTGCAGCCTTTCGTTGTGAAAATACATCATGAGATGTATATGATGCTCCATCCACTCGGACAGTGGACCTAAACCTTGGCTCATGTGGAACTCCTCCTTCATTAATTGTTTCATAAACTGGAAGTGGAATGGATGATTTTTGAGTGTACTCTTGCAAACGGTTCTTGTACATTGCGAGTTTCGGAGGATCTAGCAATATTAAGGAAAACATATTATCACAAAATGCACTTCAAGCTCCCAATGAATAGTTTGTTTTCAAGTATTGGCATCTGTAAACTAATTTCAAAAAGTGCATGATCAAGAAATTAGAACCTTTCAAGTACAACGATGAGCAACCATGTGGAAATTTTTTTGTTACAACAGCTCTAAGGAAGTCTAGCTAAGTGACCCAGAACATTCAGCACACGGTTCGGTTGGGTCAGTTTGGGTTTACCCCACAACCGTCAACTGGTTGCCAACATTCAGATGGAGAAAATGTCAACCTGATTCGACACAAACCCCTTTTGAAATCGTCTGCTTATGCTATTTGGTTTGACAGTCGGTATATGTTCGAGTATCAGGTTGGACCTCAACTCAAATGTAACTGAGAATCTTATTAGATCTACCAATTTGGAAAACAAGAATGAAAAAAAAAAAAAAACAAAACAAATTTATCACTTTCCTTCAGCATAGATCTATTAATTGGGTAAACACAAATAAAAGAAAATCTAAAAATTTGAAATAAGATCTCGTAATCTAATATTACATTTAGGGTTTTTGTTGGACTTCATTAGAGCAGAGAGAGAGAGAGAGCGAGAGAGGGAGAGAACCTGCAGCACTAGTGTAAGAGAGAGAGAAAGCGAGTCGAAAATCTGAGGAAGTGGTGGGAGATTTGAAGTGGTGGGACGTAGTCGTATTTTGAGTAATGCCATTAATGAGATAGGCTAGCATGCGCGTGGTGCGTAGAGCTTTGCTCGCGCTTGCTTCTTTTTTTTTAATCCTTCGGGTTCAAAAAATATAAAATAATTTTTTTAATCCAATAAAATATCACATTTAAGTAGTTGTTTGGGATAAACTAAATAAGTGTATTTTTTGACTTTTTATAAAATATGGGTTGAGTATGGGTTAGGTTTGAAGTGATGTATAAGATGATGTGACTTAAATAGGATAATGACTTTTTGACTTTTTTAGATTATGCCAAACCAAGCCTTAAATCATAATAACTTTATTTCTTTCATAAAAGTAAAAAAAATTAAAAAATTTATTCCAAATAAAAATTTTTAATGCCAAAGTAAAATAATCGAAAAGACAAAAAATCTAACCCATATTCCAAGTGCCTGTTCGGTAATGTTTACGTTTTCAGTTTATATTTACAAAAATTTTGTAAATTGGTTTTTGTTTATTTTTTTGTTTATTTTTAGAAAAACATAAACTACAAACTCGTTTGGTTTAGAAAAAATGTTTAAAAAATTTTAAAAATATAAAAAAGAGTGAGAAATGGCAAGTGGTGGCGGGTGCGCTGACTGGCCTGCCACGTGGTGATGACTGGACAATTGCTGTGGCAGCCACGTGGCACTTCTTGCTGACGTGGTGCCACGTGTCAATGACGTGGCTCGATGACATGGACGCCACATGTCGCTAACTGGACGGACACGTGGCACAGGCGTGGATGCCGCGTGGCTCTGGTTGATGGCCACGTGGCGATGACGTGGAGGCGCGTGGCAGGTGCGTGTTTGACACGCGCTGCCTCCCACTCACCTTCTTCC